GGGTGGAACCATCCATTTTACCTTTAAACGACCTATTTGCCGGTTTATAACTTGCATCGATTTCATTAACTCAAACCTATCACAAACATTTATGAAACAAATAATGATCATATATGGTTTCAAATGACATTATATGACCCCGAGATGTATCCCCTAGAATTTCAAGACTTTTCGACACCGGGCCCTGAATCCTCCAAAATTTCTCAAAAAGCGTGGATATTAGCATTCAATTTTTAAAATTTTGACTTTTTTTCGCCCGGAAATTTGCTGAAATGTTTATCATGATCTCTAATACCGTCCGGGAGTCCCATTGGGTGGGTGGAACTATCCAATTTGCTTTTAAACGAATAATTTATCGGTTTACAACTTGCACCTATTTCATTAACTCAAGCCTACCATGAATATTTATGGCAACAAATAATGATCATATATGGTTCCAAACGACATTTTATGACCCCGAGATGTATCCCCTTGTATTTCAAGACTTTTCGACACCGAGCCCCGAAGCCTCCAAAATTTCTCAAAAAGCGTGGATATTAGCCTTCAAATTTGGAATTTTTTTGACTTTTTTTCGCCCTAAAATAAAAATTGCCGAAATGTTTACCATGGTTCCTAATACTCTCCTGGAGTCTAATTGGGTGGGTGGAACCAACCAATTTTCCTTTAATCGACCAATTTACCGGTTTACACTTTGCACCAATTTCATTAATTCAAGCCTATCACGAACATTTATGACAACAAATAATGATCATATATGGTTCCAAACGACATTATATGACCCCGAGATGTATCCTATAAAATTTCAAGACTTTTCGACATCGGGCACCGAAACCTCCAAAATTTCTCAAAAAACGTGGATATTAGTCTTCAAATTTGGATTTTTTGACATTTATTCGCACTGAAATAAAAATTGCCGAAATGTTTACCATGGTCCCTAATACCCTCTAGGAGTCCAATTGGATGTGTGGAACCATCCAATTTGCTTCTAAACGGCCGATTTATCGATTTACAACGACCAATTTAATTAACTTGTACTGAACCCGACTTCAACCAAAATTGACCCAAACCCATTTTAACCCGTTAAAACCCGAATTTAACCCGACTTGTTACTAACCTAACCTGAATTCAACCCTACCAGTTCCTAACCCTACCCGAATTTAACCCAATCTGTTACAAACCGGACTTGTTATTGACTCGATCCGAATTTTACCAGACCTATTACTTATCCGACCCAAAAATTCAACCCGATCTGTTAGTAACCCGACTCCAAATTAACACGACTTGTTATTGACCCGACCTAAATTCAACCCAAATTGTTCATGACCTGATTTCAAATCACCTTAAATGCAACTTAGACCACCTTATTATTGTTGGTCAAAGCATTTTGTCTAGAGAGACCAAGTCGGTCCACGCCAGCAAAAGAAAGGATCATCATCCTCAAATTTAAGAGTTAAATATAGTATATATTTGTTGTATGGTTAATGGAGATAATTATCTTCCTAAATTATAGACTATAGTTCCCTAGTATATTGCCGTATCTATTATTGTCAAAGGAAATTATTAGCTTGATAAAAATGATCATTATCTATTTATAGTTAGTTGAACCCGAATATGACCTGACTTGGAAATGACCTGACGTGATTGTAACTTGCAAATTATTGACTTGAACATAATCCAACTTGAATCCGAGAATGACCCGACTTGAAAATGACCCAATCTAATTATAACCTGCAAATTATTAACTTGAACCGAACCGGACTTGAACCCAAGAATGACCAGACTTGAAAATGACCTCACCTGATTATAACCCGCAAATTATTGATTTGAACCGAACCCGACTCAAACCCAAGAATGATCCGACCTGATTCTAACCCGCAAATTATTGACTTAGAACCGAACCTGACTCGAACTTGAGAATTACTCTAACCCATTTTAACCCGTGAAAACCCGAATTAAACCCGACGTATTGTTTACCCGACCCGAATGTAACCTGACCTATTATTAACCCGACCTAAACTCGACCCAATCCTGATAAGAAGTATGACCTGACTCAAGCATGACCTAACCCAAACCTGACCCGCATGGGTTATGGAATTAATCCGAATTAACCTGACTCGAGTTGACCCGACCCATTCTTACCTGACCAAAAACCAACTCGTTTACCCGAATTGACAGCTCTAGATACATGTACATATTTAAATAACCCTTGTTATGCATTTTTCAACAACATAATGGGATGATAAGTAGTGAATGTGTGAGTGTAGTAGGTTTGATAACCCAATGAAAGACTCCATGCACTTTAATAAGACCCTAGAATATCAAGTTGATGATTGAAACCTCAATGCAACAATATTTCGAAATAGCAACATCTCAATTTGTATTTTCAAACCAACTTGTATGACCTCAAGAGATACCCCCAACATATATTTAAATTTCGGATTTTATTTTTCCGAAAATGGTCCAAAAGCATGGATTATAGCCTTTAGTTTGGACAATTTTCGACTTCTTTGGGCTCGAAAAAGAAAAAGGTCATAGTGTTTCCTATGGTATAGACAAGTTTCTTTGAGGCCATTTGTGCGATTGGAATCATCTACTTCACTTTTAAACGACCGATTTCGTTGATATTGTAGACGCTGCCTTTGATAAATTCAAGGCTACTATATAGTGCTAAATATGTTATATGACCTTGGAATGCATCCCTTACCATTACTTGAGTGGTATGATTTGGTGTATGTAGAATGGTTAAATTTGTTTTGTATAACAAAGGATTCTCTAACACCTTAATAGATACGAGGTGGAGATTGAAACTATCTCTTACATCTCTTAATTATTAATGTAAGCAATTCCAAAATAACCAAATATTTGAACCTAATTTATTCTTAGAACAATGTACTTATTAATAGGCCTACTATGGTTCAAAACCAATTTATATGTCCCTAGAGGACATCCCCCACATTCACTTTATATTTGGAAAATTTTTCCTAAATAGGTCTGAAAACATTGACTATTACCTTCAATTTAGATTAATTTTTACTTTTAGAGAGAATGGGGTGCTGTTATGGACCCCATGAGACTCTAGGAGGTCATTTGGGTGGTTAGAATCATATACTTACCTTTATAATGTCAATTTACCCAGTTTTGTATTAACTTAAGGCCTCAACAGGCTTTTATGTGACCAACTAGTGAACGTATATGGTTCCAACAACATTGTATGACATGACCCCGGGAAGCACCCCCTACTATCACTGTATTCGACACTTGGTCTCAAATATTTGTAAATGGTTCGATTTTGTGTATTATAGCTTTCAAATTTGACTTATGGAGAATATTTTTAGAACCGACAAGATTAGGTATTGAGGTGCTTCTCGTGGTTACCAAATTGCCTTAATTCTCTAAACTTTTGCATTTCATTTTACATTACAAAATAACAAATACACATTCATACTATGTTACTCGGACTCTTTCATTTACCTCACGTGTCCGTGTCGACACCGACACTTGGACACTTCATTTTTGACTAAAAGTACAACTTTTTTTCAAGAAAATGGGCGAGTCCGATGGTTGGACACCCGTGATTAATTTGACACCATCCGAGTCCAAGTGACATAGTATTCATATGTTTTCGATTTATGCCCTCTTCACTTCACCTTAAAAAAAATATTTAGTAAAAATAATTTCAGTTGAGCAAAAATAAGTTCAATTCGTAAAAATAATTCATAATAATTTCATTTCAGTAAAAATTAGTTAATTTAAAGAAGAAATATAACAGAAAATCAGTAAAAGTAATTTCAGTTCAGCAAAAATAAGTTTAGTTCAATAAAAATAATTTCAGTTCAGCTAAAATAAGGTGAAGTGAACGGGGCCTTACTTGTGATCTTGTTTGGTTATAGTTCTTGTCTCAAGGCTTAAGCCTAACAAACCCCTTTGTGAGCAAATGACTCTTCATGTGAGTTTCTTTTCTTTCCCTTTTAAGAGTTTTCCTGTACACATGTGGATCACAATAATTAAGGAGTTGACAAGATAATCTAATTGTCAGGTAAGGATATCATACTGGTTGGATTATTGAGAGTCTCCAACATTGGTTAGTAAGATAAATAAAAGGGTTGAAGTTACATAAAGCCACTAGTTGTAGACGTATGCATCCTGTCTCATATAAATATCTGTACTATAAGTATGTATGTGCAGCACTGCAAAGAGAAGTGCATGCCTCTGGTTGTTCATGAAATCATGAATTGAGGCATGGTATAATATGTGTAATGGCTAGGCAAGTACATGTCGACATATGTGTACTCAAAATTATGCACTCATTGCTAATCCCACGATGAATAACGCCAGAATCTTGTTCACAAATCGCAAAGATGGCTTGGATGCGGCTTTTTAGACCTGGGTTTACACAATTCCTGCTAGCACAATATGGAGGATTGAAGCCCCATTTTATTAATGACTTTCTGTATTGAAGGCTACACCATAACTTAGGATGTGGTCCTAAATCAATAATTTTAATGAGGTTTTAGATCTGAGATTTGGATCTCATAGTGGCCCTATGTTGTTAATGATGCTCAGTCTAACAATTGAGGAAGGCTAAATGAGTTTGACTCAAGATATGAAGCAGATTTCCCTTTAGTTGTGTTGGTTTGTTGGTTTTGCTTGTCTTCCATGAAAGGACATCTAGATGTGATGAATATAGCCATAATTTCCATATTTTTCTGCTTGGGATAATCGGAAACATTGACACTTAAAGTAGTGATTTGTTATCGCATATCAGAATAATGAATTTGGATATTGTAATTTGCTAATCCATTGGTGATGACCAATCTAGCAAAAAGCTTTAATTAGGTTCAGTGGATGATTACTTTTTGCTTTTTCTTTGCCAATTTGCTAGATCAAACTGATTATCTATTTGTCTGAAACAATACATGCAGTTTGCACTAAACATATTTACTCTTTTTTTTTTAACTACTTGTCATGCTTTTTATGTATAATTGGCAATTTGACTGCAGGCAGTGCTGCCAACAGAAGACATGGAGAAAGAAGAGAACCATTTCTGCAAAGGAAGCTTAGTTGAAGTGAGCAGTGACGAAGATGGCTTTGAAGGTGCTTGGTTTGCTGCATCTGTTGTTGAGGTGCTTGGGGAGGGCAAGTTCCTTGTCGAATATAAGGATCTTAAAACAGAGGATGATAAAGAGTTCGTAAGAGAAGAGGTTGATGCCCTGCACATTAGGCCACGTCCTCCAAAGACAGGAAAAATTGACAAATTCAAGGAGTTTGAAGAAGTTGATGCCCTTTATAATGATGGGTGGTGGGTGGGCATCATTTCCAAATTCCTTGGTCGCTCAAAATATCAAGTTTTCTTTAAAACCACTGACGAGGAACTGGAGTTTAAGGATGATGAACTGAGGCTGCATCAAGATTGGATCAAGGGAAAGTGGGTTATGGCTTCTAAGGTAATAACTATAAGTTGCTGACAAACTTTTTTTCCCAGCAAAACTCTTTGAATTCATTTTAATTGCTTTGTTGCGTGGAAGAGATAGTTGTATGTTTTACATTAATTTCCTTATAATTATATACTCTACTTCCACGGAGAAGGCAAATTGGGTCATTCGGTCATTCCTAGCTTCATTCACTTGGAATTTGGAAGGAGTTCCAAATTTTTTCTATCTATTCATTTCACATATTCATATTTGACTGTTTTTTCTGGGAAGTAATATTTCAGTGAACTCTTTTTACAGGCTATGGACTTGTCAGGCTGAAGAGAATGGTCTGCGTAGAGTGTCCTGAACTGATCCATGTGTAGGTAACCATTGTATTATAAACTCTGAACTATATGTTGATTGTCATCATCTTCTTTTCAAGGCCATGTTTTTGTCTTTGGGTGAGAATGAGAAATTTCTCCGAATAGTGTGCTAACATCACACTTTGGCCGATTTGCTGGAGCTTGATTAGCAATGGCTCCCTATTCAATGTGATTTCTATCAAGTGGTCTGGTAAGATGACCCAAAATTGTAATGGTTATTCTGTAGACTTAGTCATGTGTTAATGGTGGCATCCTCCCTTGGTGATGCTGTTGTGTATATTATTGAATTTCCATTTAATAAAACCCCATACAATTAAGCTGCAAACATTGTTCAATTGTAAATTCTAGTTGAACAAGAACAGATTACTGATTATGTGATTGATCTTAGATTTCACACTTTTGAGATTGACCATGGAGACAAGTGACAATTCAGGCTATGAAAAAAGTCAGCCTGAACATGTGGAAATAGGGACAGACTGCATCAGGCGGCCTTCGACCAAAATGGTCAATACATTGCCATCGATGATGGGGCGACAGCCACAGCCCCTAAAGGGCCTTGCCTATTAGGCTAGCCGCCTGGACCATACTCGATTAGCTCTACATATAAGGCTACCAGTGTCAACTTGAATGATTTGTGTTTCGAGGTGCTTGTGTGGGCAACCTTCCCATAATTAATATTGGTTTCTAATACGCAGACAACCTCCATTCAATTGCATGATGTGCATCCATATTTGAGTTAGTTGCAGATCTCATTTATAACCAACTTTATGGTATCCATTATCTGTTATAGAGGTTTACTTTTGAGGATATGCCAAGGCTGTTGCAATGTAGATGGCATAGGTAACTGGGAGATGCGTTACATGCATATGTGGTTTAGGGAAAATTGCTGCATGAAATTGTATTAGATCCAGGTTAAGGCAGGGGGTTAATTCATTTGGCTTTTGGTTAAGAGACATAAGACCCGCGAAAATTTGTGACTGCTTTATGGTCGTTTGACTAAGAGCATATTGGAAAGTTGTTTGGTTGACAAAAATCCTAATAAGTTGTACTCCGCAATTCGGAAGGCGGAAGGACTTACCTAGCACCTTATTCTCAGAGGAGCAAGAATAACCAGAATTTATTTTTTGGTCAGCCAAACAAGAAGACGTTTTGATAAATTATTGATTTAAGGTACTTTACCCCTTTCCTTAAATACAACATTTTTCATATTACTTATTTACTTCTTACATATTTGTAAAATATGTGGTCAAAGTTAATATGTGTATCATGTAAAAGTCAAAACGCTACAATCTTAAAGAAATGAAGTATTCCTTCAATTACTTTTGTATACACCCGATTTTCAGTAATTTACTGTACATCGAGTTCACTTTTGTCAAATTTAGTGTCACTTTTGTCAAATTTAGTATCACTTTTGTCAAATTTATCAATGAAGCATAAATAACTCTTATATATGTCACAGTAACCTTTGTGCGTTTTAGTGTAACTTTTGCGCCTTTTATAGTCACTTTATAACGGATGTTCAGTAATTTACTGAACATCCGTTTTATTTAAAAGTTTGTGAAAACTTTTGTATACACCCGGTTTTCAGTAATTTACTGTACATTTGGTACACTTTTGTCAGATTTAGTGTCACTTTTGTCAAATTTATCAATAAAGTATAAATAACTATTATATATGTCACGGTAACTTTTGTGCGTTTTAGTGTAACTTTTGCACATTTTATTGTCATTTTATAACGGATGTTCAGTAATTTACTGAACGTCCGTTTTATTTAAATGTTTGTGTTATATTTATCTGTTTGAAGTAAATCGTATAACTAGTTCATTCAATCTTTTACGTCGGACAATATTGGTTTTGATATCGAGTCACAAGAAAGAAGGTTAGGAAGAATTTGAGAGTAAAATTCATTTACATGTGCACCTTGGTAGTTGGCTAGTTGCAGTTTATGGGTGCAATAACTTTAGATGATAGCCCATCTTTGTCTCATACTTCTTTTTTTATTTTTATAACTTGTCTATATTTATGATCAATTACCCAAAACAGTTGAGGGTAACGTGATGCTATTTCTGTTGGATAGTTAAGGCACCTTACTAAATATACTATTGCTAATATTTTCTATCATTTAGAGACAAAATAAGTATGTGATTTTTGTAAATGGTATCATTGTCTTTTACTTGTATTTCTTTTGATACTTAATGCTAAAGAAATTAAATAAAATGTCTCTAGAATGATCTTGTTTCGTCGTAAAATTTAATGATTTATCTAGAGTGATAGCATGAGAACGAGAATTAAACTCTATGAGATCGAGTCTTCCATTGTTTCTCAGTAGCTCGCTTGCTTAAATGGTAGGGTGGTTGGCTATTTATTGATTGGTATGCTAAAATCAAACCATGTTAACATTATGTTATATTATTGAAGCAAATTTGAAAAACACATTTGCTTATCTTTGTTGTACGTATGTATACTAGGTAATGTCATGGTGTGGCCTGAGTCATGACTCATGAGCCTGTTTGCCACACCGCGACACGTATCTGTTTCATGTGTGTTAATTATATTTATTAGACGAGCAAAGTTTATAGCCATTATAGGTTTTACAAAATTTGTTGGGATGTATGCGAGTATACTTATATTGTGTGTTTTGATCCAAATTAAACCAAAAATGCATTCTGTTTTTAAAGGGTTACATACTTTATTCATTAATTAATTGCAACCTTAAGTTATTTAACCAATGGTTCTTTCTATCTTCCTATTCCATTGCTCTGCAGATTTTAAATCTCTCTATTTCTTCTTAAAAATACGGAGTAGTACATTTTTGACGTTAAGATTAAAAGTGAACGAAGATAGTAGAGTAAATAAACGGCCAATTTTTACATAATGTCTATGTATACAAACAATTTCAAAAAAAAAAAAAAAAGAAAAATTCTTATTCCGTTTTTTATGGTGCTATTTGCATCAGCACTTTCGTTCTCACTTCTCATTTCTTCTTGATTAGTTGAGTTTATACCAACTTACATTTAAATTTCCACATTGACCATCTTAATTAATCCCAAACATTTCTATTTATGTATATTTAATCTCATTCATTTGTCTTAATCATCCAAGTGATAAAATGTTTTAAAACATTTTAACTACATAATAACCAAATCGAATTAGAGATCAAACTCATAATATTAGAATACTCAAATCCAAGACCCCAAAAACAGATGTTTGATTGTTCATACATAATGTCTAAAGTGACAGATTATATTCCAAAAGATAACATAGAATTGATTTGACAAATAAAAAGAGTGCGCAACAACCATTCTAGTACATCAGTCCATAATATTCTTATTTTAAAAGACATCTTTAATTCTTTAGCATAGAATTCTCAACTCTCTCTAAAAAAAAAAAAACACAAACATAATAACATTGTTAAAACACTAAAATCCTTATGATTTAGACAATACTTTCCTAGCTAGTTTCCCTTTCCTACACTTCCTTCATAACACTAGCAACTTTCACATCCACCCCATTAGCCACCTTTCCGACTGCGACTGATGCATCAGTCGCAGTCGCAGCAGTAGTAACATCAGCAACTTTCACCGCCTCCTTCTCATCCTCGGCATCCTTCCTCAACACCTTGGTAGCCTCCTCCTTCTCCTCGACAACGAAAGCATCAGTCGGGAACACCTTGGATATACCTGTAGGGTTCCTGAACACAATCTTCTCGCTTTCGGGGCTGTCGACAGTGATCTCAGATATAGTCACCCAAAGAAACAACTCCTTAGCCTTAACTCCAGTAAGCTTCTTAATCTTACAAGGCTCAACATAAGCAGTAACTTCATTAGCATAACTTACTAACTTCCCAATCTTCTCAAATTTGTGCTTGATTTCTTTCTTGTGTTTTAGCCAAACAAAGCCTGTTTCTTCAATATACCCACATTCCTCCACATCTTGTAGAGGGAGAAGCCCATTGGGCAGGCCCACTTCTCTTAGAAGTCTCTTGGATTGGGCCAAGCAGACGTCGTTTCCGTGGTATAACTCCGTCGCCTTGGCCCGAATCTCGTCTGTTATCAAAGACATGATGTTTTTTTGCTTTTCTTCTTCTTGAGGTTGTTTTTGTGTTTGAAGGTTTTTTTCAGAGAATATGATGAAGTTTTTTGTGGTGTTGTAGTATGAAATGGTGAAGTGAAGGAAAATGAAAGGGGTTTGTTAATATAGGGAAATGACTACGATTTTACCCTTTGAATTTTATTATATTTACAAGGGTATACCACTTGGAATTTTTAGGTAGTTGGTACATTGAAATTAATAATTACTGAGATCATTAAATGTTTTCTTCGTCTTTTGGTTCACCTCACTCTTCTCCTGTGTGTGTAGGATTTATCCCCTTTTTTTTTTTTTTTTTTTTTTTTTTTGAAGATTTTTGTCTTTGTTTTAATGCCTTTTTTTTTTTTTTGGTTGAAGATTTGTCTTTGTTATAAACTTATAATGCTCTTTTTGTTGTTGTTGGAATTACGTCGGTAGAAGTTTGTTTAACTAACTCGTGAGCTTTCATTTACTTCGTTGTAAGGACATGTATAGTTTTGCTATAACTCTAAGGTCGATCAACTCAAGGTGGCCGTAGTTCGCCTCGTTATGGTCGATTTAGTCTGGCCCTTTATGAGTCATTGCTTATCGTCGTGTTGATGATCACATGACTACTAGACCAGTTTACTATAAGACTTGAGTAGAATTAGATTTGTTCGAACTATGCCTTAATGTAGAAATTTTAACTATGTCAAACGTCGTGTGATTTTTTTCATAAATTTTCTACCTACAACCACAACCTTATTTATTGAGGAGTTTTCTAGAGCTAGCGGAATAGTTATAGACACTTGCAAGGTGGTGTGTACGTTTAATTTTTTGACGTGGTACAAAAATTAAATTCATTGAAGGAAATGGAAAGTTGTTCCTAATTCAAATATTTTTGGTGGGTAACATCTTATAAATATAATGTCGTGACAAGACTACACATTTGGACATCTCGTATTTGATTGTTGTCCTGCATTTTTAATGCAGAAAATCAGGCATGAAAAAATGAATTAATTGCATTACTTTTTTTTTTTAAAAGACAATTAATTGCATTACTTGCTGTGAACTTAAAGCTCAATAAAATGTCTCTTTCACTGCAAGTTAACTTGGTAAAAAAACACATAAATTAGGTCTTTGAAAAAGTTGTGTAATTAAATGAATCTATGAATTCATCTAGTGTCATTGTCTTCATTTAGTTCAATATCTCTAGCTTGCCAAATTTTCTACGGTTATTTTGGCCTTTTGGTATATAATTTTATTAAAACGATTGCGTTTTGTTGAACTATAAGGCTAAATGGCAAATTATTAGCGACGACATGA